AAGTGGGAGTATGCACCAAATCAGAAAAAAATATATACACTAAAACTGTGAAGAGAAATTAAATTTTTTAAACAAAAGTATAAGAAAAAGAACAAAAAAAAAAGACTTAAAGAGTGTGCTAGCAGGAGTGGTCTGAACTCTAAGCCTAATCGCATGTAACTTCATATTCCGACTTGCGTGGTTTGACTCGTGTGGAATTTCGTTCCTTCCCTTCATCTCTGCAGGACAAAACAAAAATGAATACATTAAATAACAGCAACGAGACTGGAACATAACTCCTTTCCTTTTCGTTAATTTTAATTTCAACTGAGTCTTCCAGTGCAGACTTTGAGGAGGCTCTCATTGAACACCTACAGCTGCATTTGAAACTGTGATCACTAATACACTGTACAGATACAAATTTCTATATTTGCAATGATTGCTGTAAAGAGAGAGAGAGAAATTAAATATGAGAATATATATATATATATATATAAATGTACTTATAACTTAACTCTTTGGCAGGCTGCGGAACTTGAGGCTTCTTGACAGTCACTGCTAAAGGGTTAAAAAAAATACCCTGTTTGTATCAGGTTTTAATCATGGGTTTTAGAAACAAAACAAGTTTTTTTTATTATTTCACTTTATTTTGTTTTTAAAAAAAAGAAGAATTCTATGTTTGTTGTTTTCTGGGTTGGTTTTATTATCTCTTTGCTGAATGGCTGTTTTCTGAAAGAGGTAAACTGCAATGAGAAATAGATGACACTCTTACAAAAATGAATCGGTATTCCTGTGTAGTTCTTCAACATATAAAGAGGATCTGAACTGAGCTGTGCCCATAAAGGGCAATCAGAGGGCAAAGGTCTAGTCACTGGTGTTGCATGTAGCCTCTGTGCAGGTGATCTTTTTCCCATTACTGACTTGCCATGCGTCATTTTGCACTGTGCCTCGTTGTGGAAGAGGGGCATGGCTTTGCTTCCACCTCTTCCATGGGTAGTGATATAAAAACTGGCAGCGTAATGATCAGGAAGCAGCAGGTGAGGTAGAGGAAACACAGATCCACAGAATGAATGAAACAGAGGCAGGGTGATCCTTGCACTCCAGGTACAACTTTCTCTCCAGCAGGCCCTCAGGAAAACAGTGAGCAGAACAGCATTGACCAAATCTCACATGAACTCTTGTGAGACCAGCAGTCAGAGACAACATTGCCTAGGCATGGAAAGCACATGGCTATTTTTAGGAAGATTTGAAGAGATATGGTAATTCCTTCAGGATACTGCTTAGTCACAGAAAATGTTTCTAGATGATCCCTATTAGATGGCAAAGTTTCATTTTTCCAGTTCAGGTCCACCTTAACTTGGATTTTGTGGTCTATTTACACTTCTCCTATAGAAATGCCATGCGGTTTCTGTGCAGTTTTCAGAACCTTTTTTATAGTGCCATTATGTGCATTGAAGTATTTTTACTTGTGTTTTTCTTTTCTGCTTTTCCTTTTTATTGTAAAAAATTCGGGTTTTTGCCCGTTCCACATTTTGGATGCACTGAAAATGTGCAAATACATGTAATATATTGGCCATTCCACTTCAGTCCTCTGGGTCTGAAATCCCAATGTAGGCACGGTTGCAGGACAGCATTAGCAATTTATATAATAATGACTCCACAGCAGCAAAGTGGCCTAAACTACCTCCATTGGTTTCGATGTCACCATTGCCCTGCCCAGGGGTGCAAAAGCAGGGATGGCCTTTAAATATGGATTCAACAAATGTATCAGTTCTCTATAGCAACCTCCCACTCAACAACTGTCATTTTCAAACCTAAACTAGGAAAATAGTGGAAGCAGAACGGCTGGTACATAAGTAATTTCCAGGAGCAATGCCTCCATTTTCCATTTTTATGTACTACCTTTAAAGCAGCCCTGTCAGATACTGTAAAAGAAAAAGGATGTGTGACCAGTGTCTGCTGTGTTGCAGATCTCCAGCCACTAAAGGTACAGTATCTAATACTTTTGAATGGGTTGAATACCTGATCCTCCTGCTGGCCCTTACGTCCTGTAGTGACATAGAAGCCAGCAAAAGGAACCACAGTTAGCAGACGGGGGGCAGGTACTCAACACATGTAAGTTTTGAATACCTACAGAGGCCACAGCTGAGATTTAGGACACAGGCCACTTATACAGCCACGTATACAGCTTCTTACTAGCTTAGTTTTATTTCCATTGGTGTCCTTAAAAGTGTTCCCATGCTTATTGACATTACACTTTTTACATATTCCTATCATGCAGCAAAAAGCTTTAAAACAACCCATCCCTGGCCTCTCTAGCTCCTTTTAATGTTAAGTTATTCATTCTCATAGATCCTCAAAGATCACAGTAAAGACTCCAAAGTTGGATTTCAGTAGGTTTCTAACAGTTAAGAAACACATGCTGGGTGTTTATGTTAAAGGGCTGGCAGCCTGCCAAAATCTGCTCTCCTAGACAAAAGCTGAGCTTTCAGTACCCAGGTTGTGAACTTTGAAAATCAATTTCAGCACAGGTTCCTGTTAATGAAATGTTCTTTTAAAGCCCTACTACAGTCTCAACATTTTTTTGTTTTGGACAGAGCTGGGAAGGATAGGCTTTCAATGCTGTTTTGGGACTAATTTGATAACTTATCTATCAGTAACTGTATGTAGTATAATAAAGAGGTTTTTTTAATATATATTTATTATCCTTTACTTGCTCCAAAAATACATACTTTAACTTGTCTTGTTATCAGCTTAACCACATTATGTGTCTATGTATATGTATGTAACGTATGTTAATACAAAAGTGTTGATAGCTAAGACCTGCTAGGTTATATATTTTTGTACATTTTAATATAACTAAGTTGTTTGTTTTATTAAACTAAATAAAGGATAATGCACAATATTGAAACAAAAACTTTATTCTATCTTATACAATGACTGATGGGTAAGTTATCAAATAAGAAGTCCTAATAAATACTAAATATGTATATAAACTCTAACAATTAACTTCTCTTATTTGCTCCCTTTTGGGCCATTAAATATACAATTGAAAGAGTTTGTTATATGTGTTCAAAGGATCTTGAGCTGATAACTTCCTGTGCTCTCTGCTGATTGTTATCAGTTAGCATTGCTCCCAACTCGCTCTGTGGATGACACAACACCTCTCCACTATGTTATGCAGAGGTTCTCTGTGGTCCTTGCAATCTAGTGTCAAGGTGCTCTGTAGTTTTACTTCCTGTCCTGGGGTGATAATGCTGCATCTCCATAGACACAGTACTCTGAGTGAGCTTTGTTACCCTGGGACAGGAATTGCGTTATATACAGGCTGACCAGACGAAAATTAAAGAAAAATAGCCTGAGAAAAGAAAACGAATGCAGCTGGTAAGCTGCAATATATTACATTTTTGTTCTTGGGCTTCCAAACCTTGCATATACATTAAACAATATCCCTTCAGGAGACCATAAGGTGAAATAAATAATTTAAAGTGAAGTATTTCTTGCAAATGAAGTTTCATTACAGCCCCATAGTTTTGGGTTTATTTTGTTTTTTTGGGTTGGGGGGGGGGGCTTCTCAGATTTTTTTAAGC